TTTCCCCATTTTCTTGATCCTGAACATTAGTGAATTAGGATGCAGGCTCCCCATGCATATGTAAATTCAGGCCATTAGTAAACTTTTCATTTATTGTAAGCTACCCATCTTGTTTGTTTTTTTGCCTCGGTTCTGTTCTTGACTTATCCATGGGTCATATCAAAATCTATCATTTTGGATTTTACCCTAACATGTAAAATCTGCCCTTGACTTATACATGAGGTCAACTTATAGTCAAATATATATGATAATTGCTAGCAATCCAGGGGATGATCCTATCAATTAGCAAGTGGAAGTAACTAGGCAACTCCAAAGTTCATAAGAAAGTGTTGCACTTCATAGTGGTTTAGGTTTTGTTACAGTGCCAAACTATGGGCTATAAGCACAGGAATCTGTCCCAATGGGGAATGAATGTTCATTGCTTGAAGCTGAAGGGCAGGTGCTGCCCAAGAGCCAGGTTTGCTTGAAAAGGCTTTTTGGGCAGAGTTAATCATTTTATCTTGCACATTGTATAATGAAGTTCAGGCAGCTGTTCCGTCTCCTGTTCATGTTGTTGGTGGAAGGTCAGTGAGTAGTTGGTTTTTTTAAAAAACATGTGTGGAATTCTTATTTTAAATATAGTAATGTATTCATACATCTGTATTTTTCACTGTACTTTTGTAATAGCATGCAAAGATCGCCATTAATTGATATAGACCCTGGAGGTCCTGAATTTGGGGAAGTGGGGATGGAACAAGCCAAGTTTAACAACACAATTTGCTATCTGTTCCCAGCAGTCATGCAAATACACTTTTGGGTTGGGCATATTCAAAACAGCTTGCAGATCTGCAGATATTCAAAAGAGGATGAACTGTGATTCAGGGACAAGCGCTGAATATCTATCTGTTCTGTTCCCTCTCCCTCCCCACAGATGCTTTAATAAAATTTCATAAATAAATGAATAAATGAATAAATAAATAAATAATGGTGTTTAAAAGAAGTTGCTTAGCTTTTTTCTCTTTTCTTAAAGCAAGCATTAGAAGAAGCAAAACAAATACTTTTTGTGCAGGGGGGGGGAAGCAATGTTATATTTTAAGCTGAGAATTGGCACATGGTGGTGATGGTCAGAACATTGCAGAAGTGGGCATGGCTGAGCCAGATTGTATAGCTGTGCATTTCACGTGATCATAAAAATTGTTTACTCATATTGGCTGTCCTTATCTGGTGATGGAAAAGCAGCCCTGTGGCAGACATCCCTGCACCCAAATAATAAAGGAGTATTAGAGGAGACACTTGTCCCTCTCTCATCCACCCTCTCTTTGTAGTGTAACCCAACTCTCTTGTGCTTTCAGGGCAAACATTTCTCATTACTATTTTTATTGCTGTTGGTGTTTCACCTTTTTGTTTGGTGTTTGCTTTATCTGTCTTCACTGCAGGTAAAGTTTGTCTTTTTTTTTTTATCACTCGGCCTGATTAACTGGCATGGATTGTTTGGGCAGCAATTTCTTTGTACATTCTAGCATCCCTATCAGACATTTTCATCAATTTTTGCTAAGACAGGTTTGACAGAATTGCTCTTGTAAGCTGCCTGCCTTGTGCCCTCCTCTTCTGAGCAAACACGACATGCTTTTTTGGTGGTTCCTTTGGGTGATATTTCCTTCTTCCCAGCAGAAGAATTACTGTTTTGTTTATTTTCCTCAGATGGACAGTTTCTGTTCAGTTAAAATAAATGATTGCGGTCTAATGAAACTAAAACTTGACTTTGTGCTTTTGAGGTTGAACAGGAGCAGTGGATTTCAAGCAAAAAATAGAACAGAGACTTTTTTAAATTTGCAATTTGCAATTTTCCCTTTCTGAATCAATATGCAAACCAGAACATTGTTATCGGCACATTTCAGCATTTTGTGATGCACTTTGTGGAACATAAAAAAGAAGTGCATACAAAACTGTGTACATTAGGAGAAAGTGGGTGTCAGTGGAGAGGAAACCTACAAAATGGCATTATTAAGGAAAACTGAACAAAAAGGGCATATATTAGGCTAATAGGCATATTAAAATGTGTGTGAAGAGAAAGGCAGCCGGGGGGGGGGAACTCTCTAACTGTTGCTTTGAGAGTCCTAATGATATCTAGGTACTTTGCTCTAGGCCAGTAGTCAACTGTTCAAGTGGTTCATCCTTGTGAGGAACAAGTTTTTGCAAATGCACTATTGCTTTATAATCATAGCTTTCAAGATCTGAAGGATGTTGTTACTGGAGAGCAAACTTAACTATTACTGCTGGCTTTCCCCCTCAACTTTTTCAATTAGCAAAATAGAACATCCTGAAATATTTGTTAATGGCAGTTAAATGCTCCTGGTAGAACAGTTTTTGCATTTACACTCCTGAGGCATTGACCAGATGAGCACGATGGAATAAAATGGTAGTAATGGAATGCTGTTAAAGTTCACACCAGTTTAGACTTAGTTGCAAGATGTGGCAAAGGCAATGGTAGAGAGGGATGGGGGCAAAGACAAGATTGGCAACAATAAGGGTTTGGATCATAGATTCATAGAATCATAGAGTTGGAAGATACCTCAAGGGCCTCCATTCTGCCATGCAGGAAGATACAATCCAAGCCCACAACAGATGGCCATCCAGCCTCTGTTTAAAAGTCTCCAAAGAAGGAGATTCCACCATGCTCCAAGGTAGTGTATTCCACTGTTGAACAGCTTTTACTATCAGGAAGTTCTTCCTAAGGTTTAGATGGAATATCTTTTCCTGTAGCTTGAATCCACTGCTGTGTCTGGAGGAGCAGAAAGCAAGCTTGCTCCATTATCAATATAACATCTCTTCAAATATTTTAACATGGCTATCATGTCATCCCTTAGCTTTCTCTTTTCCAGGCTAAACATACCCAGCTCCCTAAGTCACTCCTCATAGGGAATGGTTTCCAGACCTATCACCATTTTGCTCACCCTCCTCTGGATACGCTCCAGCTTGTCCACATCCTTCTTGAATTGTGCTACCCAGAACTAGATGTAGTATTCAGTGGCAGCTCATGATGCCTATGCCAGTGGGGTCATGAATGCATGCCAAGTTCTTCATCACACGCAATAGCTCTTTAAAATTTGGACTAAACCCCAGAGTGAATTCACCACACTATTGACATGGAAGCCACCATATGGCTGCTTTTTAGAGTTTGATGAGAATTTCCTTGTTCTCCTTTGTGGTTAGTACATCTGGTCACCTTGTCTTTTGTCTTGAGTACAAGCTATGCTTTAGCACTCACTTCTCCGTAAGGTTCTGTAATTGAAACAACTAAAGGCTTTGCTTTATCTATAAAGCACAGGCTGATTTTACCATACTCTTTGTTTCCTACAGCCAGCTTGGTCCTTTAATGAAAACAGGACAAAAGGGCCCTTTGAGAAAGCAAGTCCTGATCTCATTGGAGTAAATTTGCTTACCAGCAGGATAGTCTATCTGGCTGGCTTCATGTTTAAACAGCCCAATGGTTAGAGTGCAGCATCATAATTGTGGCATGGCTTCTGAGGCCATAGTTTTGTGGTGTGCCAGCACCATTCTTGTATTAGTTGAGGAGGGCTACCTTCCCTGTGAGTCTGACTGTTTGCAGTGCACTAGAACTATCCCACATTTGTTTATTGTACTCTACCTCCAAGTGTTAATTCTTTCTCTCTATTTCATGTGTGTGTAAGTGAGATGTTTTTGCATTTTTCACTCTGCTCTGGAAAGATTGTGGATCCAGAAGGGTTTGCAATAGTGTTTGGGCAATCTGAATAATGAGGGTTTGGAATGATTTTTAGAATAGTTTGGTGTGAGTGTGTATTTGCAATATTTATTAGCTGCTTTCCCCCCAATCCTTTGTAGCAGAAATCTACCCAGATCCTAACATGCTAAATGTTCTGTGATTCATATGTGTGCTTGTATGTATGCTTTCTCCCCATATAAATGGTTTTATATATGGATGTGTGTGTGTGTTTCCATGTTTGCAATGTGTACTAGCTGTTTTTGCCATTCTTTTATGGCCTAAATCTACCTGGAACCCAGGATTCTGAATGATCTGTATACAAATTGAGCCAATGGGAATTTTGCACACTGTCTTGCTAATATGAAATATATGATCCGAATTACGTTTGTTTACAGCAAGCTTGAACTTGAACTAAATGGGGGGTAGGGGGAAGGATCCAGCAGCTTAATCTCTAACAAACATGTTTTCTTTGTGGAGATGCATAATGCATATAATCTTGGCTGGTAACCCTTAATACATCTGAGTCTTGACCTGCTTTTCCTACAGATGGAATGGCACTATGAATCTTTAATGCAGTAGGATATGACAATGCATAAGAAAGAAGAGTGTAATGGTAAACAAACCGTTGGGATCCAACCACAATGTACAGTGGAGAAACAACTCCTTTCCAAGAAAGTGTGTGCATACACAAGTGTTGATACCATGTTATAGCCATGAATGTTTTGTGCAGATCCTGGTTTATCACTGACCGGAGTGAGGCAGTTGCCTCAGACAGAAGATGCCTTGTGCTGGTTAGTTAGGTGTTGGAGGACTGAATGGTGTGAGTGTGTGTCTGTGATATATGGTCCTCCTGTAATCTTCCCTACACTTTCTAAACTGGCTTGATACCTGATGGTTTGATGGAAAATGCTGTCCTATTCCTATGGTTGAAATAAGAAAACAATACGGAGACAAACTCCATGTACTCTAAGATGGTCAACTGCTTATTCCTTTTAATATAGCTCAACCTGTTTCAGCCAGTCTGGGAAAAGGCCTTCTTCAAGGGCTAAAGCCAAATACAAATATATTATGAGCATTAAGAACACAAGACACGTCTATAATTATATCCCACATAACAACATTTTTTTTTGGTTGCTGTGTGCCTTTAAGTTGTTTCCAACCTATGGTGACCCTATCATGGTTTTTTTTAGCAAGATTTGTTTGGAGGAGGTTTGCCATTACCTTCCTCTGAGGCCGAGAGTATGTGACTTGATCAAGGTCACCCAGTGGGTTTCTATGGCTGAGTGGGGAATTGAACCCTGGTTTCTGGAATTACAATCCAACACTCAAACCATTACGCCAAGCTGGGCCTTATAAAACCACATAGGATTACATTATATTTCATATCAGAAGAAATCAGAAGAAATCACCAGAGTTCTTATCTATTGTGAATGGCAGTGTCCATCTGGGTCTCTGACAGACAGAACTTTTCCTTCACTTGCTACCTGATCATTTTGAACAGAAGATGCCAGGAGCTGAAATTAGGACCTTCTGTATACAAAGTAAGTGACCTCCTGTCACTTAACTGTCATATACATCTTATGCCTGGGTTGACCATGGATTTGTTAGGTAGGGCTGCAAACTAACCAGAGTGGTGTGTTTAATTTATTCTGGGGACACTTTCCAGGAAAAAAAGCACCTCTCTTTAGGCTGGCTTGCAAATAAGACTATTTTACCTTCAATCAACAACTAGGGTTTTTCTTACACAATACTATGGACAGTCTTGGGAGATGAGACTGTCCTGTGTTATGTGTAACATCTGTTTTCATTTAACTTGAAATATATATTGTTTGGTTCACTTATATTATTTGTTTGAACAATAATTGACCATAACAATTTGATTACAATCATACCTTGCTTGCAGTCTGAAGTGGTGATCTAGCAAGATTTAGGCCATGGTGTTTTGATCTTTTAGCTCTTGTAGATCTAATTACTGTTATGATCAAATTAAAGCCTGCTATCTAAACTCCATTGGCTTGAACATAAATAAAGTCAGTCTTGAAATGTACATCTTTGTAAATGCTCAGCATAATAGGTTAAATCCTAAAATAATCCCAAGTTGATTGTTTCAGATCGCCCTTGAACCCTTCACCATTCATCAGAAGACAGAAAGGCAAATTACAGATTGGCGACAAGTGATTCTGTATCATGCCAGAGATTTACATCTCTCTCTCTTGATATTGGAGGAAAAGATGCTCCCCTCCTTGTATCCCCATAGCAACAGCCAAATACTAGGAAAGGAGAAGCAAAGTAATTGATCAGTGTCATTGTTGGGACTGTCTCCTTTTGCATATAGGTACGTCTCCTCTCCTTTGATGCTCTGGCTTGTTTTTATCTCATGTGAAAGTCACACTTAAATGAAAGGGGGGGGGGAATAAGCAGCCTCTCCTAATCCTTTTTGAGTTACTGCAGATCACAGCGGTTGTATTTCTCACCTTTGGTGGAGGTCTTCATTCTGCAGTGGGGATGCCAAAACAGCCTGTTATTATCAAGCTGGAAAGCCTGGGAAAGTTCCTTTTGTGGACTACAATTTCCCAGTCAATGTGGCCAGTTGGAGCTGTAGTCCAAAGAAGTATATTTCTCAAGCGCTGCTAAGGTAGCAAAATATCTACATTTGGAGGGTTGTGTGTGTATGCATTTGTCTGTGGCTATATGGAGTGAGAGCCCTTATGCTGCAGAGACCATGAAGATGGCTTGCCACATTCCCCCTTGAATTGGACAATTGCACATTTGTTGGAGGAAAGGAAGGTGGAGGCCAAATACGGTTTCTCTAGGCCTTTCAGTCTGGACCATGCTTCTATATTGATCCCCTTCAGATTATTGATATTACAGTGGGTCCTTGGTATCTGCTAGGATTTGGTTTCAAGACTCCCCATGGATACCAAAATCCATGGATGTTCAAGTCCCATTAAGTACAGTGGATAGTCAAACAGTGTCCCTTATATAAAATGGTAAAATCAAAGAGGTTTATTTTTGTATTTTTAATACAAAATATTTTCAAGTCATAGATGCTTGACTCCATGGATAAAGAATCTATGGCTATGAGGGACTGACTGTGTTTATTTTATACTATTTTCTCCCCCCCCCCCGACTTTATCATACAGGGGGAAAAGACGGGAGCATAGCGATGAATTTAATAATAATAATAATAATAATAATAATAATAATAATAATAATAAAATTTATTTCTATCCCGTCCCTCTGCAGCGCAATCAGGGTGGCTTACAACATTAAACTCAAGAAATACATACAACCCCAGAAACCCACCCACCACTTAAAAAGATATTAGACCATTAGAAGCATTTTAAAATAAATCACAACATAAAACTGAACATCGCAACAACAGCAGCGCAGAAAGGGAGAGAAATTTTCACATGACATCATTATTGTGCGATTATCCCATGAATAAAGTGGCAAAATCATGCCGCTTTTTATTCACAGGATTTTCCCATGAATAAAAAGCGGCACCATTTTGACACTTTATTCATGGGATAATCACGTGATAATGGCGACATTGTGCAATGCTGTGTGAAAATCTTCCCGTTATTGCACAGTATTGATGGGAGCATAGTGCTATGCTCCTGTCTTTTTTTGGCCATGTGATAACATCCTTTATGTGCCTTCAAGTTGCCTGTTGACTTATTGACACCATGAATTTCAGAGGTGGTTTTTCCAGTTCCTTCCTCTGAAATATAGTCAACACCACTTGATGTTTATTGGTGGTCTCCCATCCAAGTACTAACCAAGGCTGATCTAGCTTAGCTTCCAAGATCAGATGGGATCTGGTCCCTTTAGGGTATTTGGGCCACTACCTACAAAACACCATCTTGCACAAACTGGTGAGGGTGAAAGCCTGGACGGACAGGTCTTTATATATGGACATAATGTTTTTATAGCAAGAGCAATGGTAAGTCACATAAGTTCTGACCAATATAAGGTAGAGCAAGGGAAAAGGTTCCCCTCCCAGCCCTCTGGAATCTCTGTTGATAGATGGTATAGGTACAGCAGCTCCTGTATTCCGTGTGTATTGGGTCTTTTTTGGCAAATGGCAGCTTCACTTGGGAAATAGAAATAGAAGTCCAGAACTGAATATTCCCTTTGCTTTCCCCCATTATCCCTATTGTTGGATGGACTTCAGGCTTATGACATTTGAATACTTTAATGATACTCTGTTGCAGGCATCAGCTAAATTCAGTCTTGCATGGTTTATTTTCTGTTCATTTAACAGATTTATCATGGTTCACCTAGATGTAGGAAACTGACTGTAGGAGGCTGCAGTTTGGGACCTTTGTTGAGAGATCTTAATTATTCACATTCACTTGAGACTTTAAGTGTCATGCTGCTTTCAACCAAGGTCTGTCTCCCTAGCCCAACATTATTTGAAGTGCATCCTAATCTCTGCTCAGGATGCTAGATATTTTAGATTTAAGGTCATGGTCATCCTGGATCTGTGGATCATCCTGGATCTTTGCTGTGGATATATATAGAGAAAGAGCTATCATCAGCACCTGGCTTCCAGGGGCAAGTACTAATGCATATACTTCCCATTTTGGGGGGCCTGGAACTTCAAGCATTCTCATGCAGCTGGGTTTCAGCCACCATAAAACACTTAATCTAACCTGGAGGAGTGCAAGTTATTCCACTAGGTCATCTTCCTCCAAGCTGGTGGACTTTATCTTTGTTGGTCAACTATACCCACCATATGCAGACAATGGAAGTCCAATGTATCTGGAAGATTAAGGTTGGGGAAATGTAGGCTAAATGCAATCTGTCCTTCCTGGCTCCATTGCTTCAAAAATGACTTCTTCCAGCAGGAATTTCTTTTACGTTGCTCAGTGATTCCTACAAAGCGTAGACAGGCATACACCAGGCAGATGTGGCTCTTGTTTTTGAACATTATAGAATACTATTTTCCTTGGAAAGGCTTTGAGGTGTCACTTGGAATCAGGGCTAAGCTGGTGCCAGCAGCTTGTGACTATTGCACCAAATGGGAAAGTACAAGCTATTCTGAATAATGTATTATTTATTGTGCATTAAGCTATTAATAGAGCTTGAAGCCTAACGTTGCTGAGGACAGACTTCAACTGGAGAGGAGTCTGAATACTATTGTGTAGAGGAATTGCCAGATCCAGTATGACCACTACCCTTCCATATTCCACAATTCTTATCTGGATCCAGTCTCTCTCTCTCTCTCATTTTTTTATTTGCAAGAACAATCAACTCTCCAGAGAACTAAAGTGGGAACAATAATTGTCAGTCATAGCTTCTTCACAAGCTGCTTTTTTTTTTCTTGCTGGCCAGCACTGTTCTACAAAAGCACATTTCTCTGTGTTGAAAAGCCGGGATGGCTGAATTAAATGATAATGCTAAAGCAAGGAGAGTCAGCCTCTTTTTTGAAATCTCCAGATGGCCAACTTGCACTGCCTTTATTTGCCGCACAACTGAAACCTCTGTTAGGTGAAAGTCTCTACACCAGCGATTCCCAAATTTGGCCCTGCAGGTATTTTTGAACTTCAGCTCCCAGGATTCCTGACTGTTAGCCAAGCTGACTGGGGCATCTGGGAGTTGAAGTCCAAAAGCTCTGGAGGACCAAAGTTTGGGAACTATTGTTCTGAGCAAACACAATTAATGATCACCAGAGCTTAGAGCAGTTACCTTTTTGAATGATGGCACCCAGAGTCCAAAAAGTAACTGAGGTGAGTTCCCTGCAGATGGTGGGTATAGTTGACTAACAAAGCTAAAGGCCACCAGCTTGGAGGAAGATGCTCTCTGAATTACAGTTTCTACACCTGTTTCTTCTGGATTCTTGTTCTTTTGTGTTGCTTTGCTTGTCGTCATTTTGCAGACCCTGTTTCCTCCCTTGCTTCAGATGTAGACCGTCCTTGTCCTTCTTTGTGCAGCTATGCATCACATCCATGACCAAATTAGCTATGGAAAGGAAAGGGTCAGCTGGCATTCCTATGCCAGCTGTCACTTCACATCTGTTTGCACTGTGTATATAGCAACTAGCACTCCCCAGACTGCACACTGTATGCACAATCACTTGGAGAAAGTTCCATTGAACTAAAAAGGACCTATCTCAGCGTCGCCATGTATGCAATTGCACTGAAACTCTTTTTTTCTCAAGTTATACTAATTGCATCTGCATTTGGACATCATGCTAAATGATGCTTTAACATGCATGGATTTGCTCGGGATTCATGTGCTTCTTCTTCTTCTTCTTCTCCCTTTCTGCACTGTGGCCAAATGGGCATGACTGGAAAGTCCTATTTTCAACCAGCCATGGTCCACAGCTTAGAAATGTAGATTGA